TTATAGTTATTTTTTAAGTGATCAAAAATAAAATATTATTTTCCGTATAAGATTTTAAAGAAATCATATCCTTGGGTATTCCTCATAATAACTATCATCAAATAAATGATATCCTCTTTGGTCTTTGGGTAACCATAATTATAATTATAACTTTCTAATTTTGAAGAAACTATATAGTTTTCATTTTAAAAATAAACAATGTAAAATGATATTAAAAACTTCTAATTTATTTAATTTTATTTTAAAAAAGAAATAATAATTATAATTTTGATTTTGAAGCTGCTTCATTTTCCGATTTAATTCTGATAGACTCGGCTTTGGCACAAGCATTACAAAGATAAATAGTTGGTATTGATGGTATAGCTGGGTAATCTGGTATCGCTGGAAGAATTAATGATGTTACCATTGATGGAGGAGTTGTAAACGTTGTTGAAGCTACCATCGGTGCGGATGTTTCCATTGGTGCAGATGATACCATTGGTGTTGGTGATACCATTGATGTTGGAACTGGTGTTTCAACTTGAATAGGGTAGTGATTATAACAGTAATTAAAATTTATATCATCATCACTATTTTTATAACCATTCATAATGGCGTTATTAAAACAAGATTTATTGTCATATTGAAAAATCGAAGTATTATTTAGACTGGTATATGATGTACTAGAGGTGTAATTATAGTTATTATATACATAAATGACATCACTTTTAACTGGTGGGATTTCATAGCCACAACCTTTGGGATCATCCGTACTGACGTTGTGTAGTGGATAGTCGAAATTTGAATAACGATTATCTTTGCTTCCTTTTTCATAATAGTTGGTTTGGGATTTAATAATATATCGAAAAAATCCTGGGAAACTAGAATCCAAAATAAAAGATAATGGTTTAATCTAAAAAATTATAATTTAAAGAAAAAAAAAAAATTAGTATTCTAAAACAAATTTATTGGATGTATTTATTACTAACAGATTTTTTGTCTTCATTTTCAGTATAAATATAGAAGCTGTCCATTTTTTTTTTTTTTTTTAGTTTAATTAAATGTTTTGATTTGATTTATAAAGATGAAATAAAAAAAAAGTAATTAGTATTTATAATTTTTTTAAAAATATTAAAAAAGAAAAATTATTATTTAATTATTTTTATTAAATCATTTTTACTTTTTGGGCTAATTATATATACATAATAGGTGAAAAAACA